ATGTGATGCTGTCTCTCTCTCTCTCTCTCACTCACACAAGCGCGCGCGCGCACACACACGATGCGCAAAACTCCGCATTTGAACAGTCAATAGCAAATACTTAAACTAGTAACAAAACATACTTACAGTCGCTGATTCAGAAGCGCCAGATTGTCATAGCAAAGTCAGAATTACCTCCTCTCCTAGGTTCACGAAACGGTCGTCCATAAAATGCATTGCTGTTCTGTTGTAAGTAATCTTAAAGATTCCTAAATGCATCTACTTTCGGAAGGCCAAATAAAGTGCTTTTGCTTTCGCCTAGAAACACACAGCGTCTCTCTGACATGGCTGCATCAACACTAACTGCGGTTACTGAAACCACGCCTTCTTTCTTTGCGTGCACATTTGGGCGCATTATGCAAATATTCCCACATAGTGACCTAGATATGTGGGGGCGTGTTAGAACGAGCCGTTTTAGGGGGGTGTGGCAGAGTCTTAACTTTGATAAAGAATATCTCTTTGGTTTTGAGACTTTAGTCTTTGCAACTTCAGGGATCTTATCTATTCACGAACAGCTTGTAACACTCCAAAGAGAAAGGAAAACTTGAAATCGCATCATATGACCCCTTTAAAGATTTTTTTTTTTTTATGATTCAATTATTTATTTGCATTACATCAACTTACGAACCACTTGCAGTTTTCTCATGAACTCCTGTTTTAACTCCTGAATTAGCCTATTAACTAATTTTAGTTTTAAATGGTAGTTCAGTAAATAATGACTTTTATTTCACTGTTTTACATGCACTTTGAATGGACTTCTTTTATGGTGTTTTTGGGTCCTTTTTGGAGTTTCACATTAATCGTAAGGACTCTTGTGAGCAGCGAAACATGCTCTCATTTCAGAGATCATGACCGTGCAGTGATGGAAGAGCCAGTGAATAGTGAAGTGGGAGGCACTTATTTTGTAGGATGAGAAGACATCTCATTTCAGGCGTTTCTCAAGAGAAATTCAGGCAGGGAAAGCGTCTGGTGATGCGAGTGTTGCTCAGTATCGGTGCTTCTTGTGCTGTGCTGCTGTGGTGTGACTGCAGTATCGTAGGCGTTTTCTCTGTTCAGACTCCACTTAGCCTCTCCTGACGTCCCTCAGGCCCTTTTTACCGGTGACTCAGGGAGCCACTGTACTACTTGAGAACAGCTGTGGTGCAACATTCGTCTTCTATTACAGATGGCCTTGAATCTCCCTCAAGCGCTGACCTGAGACCAGCTTATTTAATAAAAAGCCTTTGAACTCACAATCCTTCCAAAATACAAGGCTAATGTAGAGTGTATGGCCATTATTTAATCTTGGTGGTGGTGCGGTTGCAGGTATGATGATAATAATGACCCAGCACATGGAGAGTGGGCCTATGTTGATTTCTTGCATCCATGTCTGGGCCTGTTGACTTCATTCCAGCTGTTCTTCCTTGACTCATGGAAAATCACAGATAATTCTCACAAAGCTGGCACCAATGAGCAAACCAGCGTAGAAGCAAAACTAGATTTTTTTTTTGAGTTGACGTAATGATTAATAGTGGTTGTTGGCAATGAAACAAAGTTAACTAGAGTTCAGCTTTATGCAAATGAGAGACCTGATAGCTTTAGCAACGCATCCTGACTGGAAAGACCTTTGTTAGACTAACACTGTGTTATTTATTTAATCATTTATTTACATACAATCTTTCAGCATTGTCTTCAGTAGTATTTCAGTTTGAACACTGGTTTCCTTAACAGGCAGTGTACACCCTGTGCCCTGCAGATCATTTAGTCCTGCAGTCTCACTGGCCTGGATAATGTCCTCCCATTTGGACGGGCCTAATGAGGACTCTGTTCCTGTGAGGATCTGGGACAAGCTTATTTTACCAGCTACATCAATCTGGAATGATCCTGGTAACACACCACCAAAGAAATCATAGTGCAGAGGTTTTCCACCTTGGGTTTGCATATAGAGTTGGATCTTATTTGTGGGTTTTTCCCCTTTTTTATATCATAATTTTTATAGTTCTAGTTCCTGTATGTTATTTTTTGGGGATAGAAATCAATATTTTTATTCAGCAAGGATGCATTCAATTGATCTAAAATTACAGTAAAGACATTTAGAATGATACAAAAGATTTCCATTTCAAATAAATTATGTGCTTTTGAAGTTTCTATTCAAAGAATCCTGAAAAGCATGTCACAACTGTTTTCAGTATTGATACTAATGAGCAATGTTTCTTGAGCACCAAATCAGCATATTGGAATTATTTTTGAAGGCTCACATGACGCTGAAAATGTGTGTAATGGCTGCTGAAAATTCAGCTTTGCTATCACAGGAGTAAATTGCATTTTAAAATATATTTAAATGGAAGAACAGATGTTTTGAGTTGTAACATTTCACAAATAACTTTTTCTTACTGTATATTTGATAAAATAAATGCAGTCTTGGTGAGCATAAGAGACCAAAAACATTTAAAAATCTAACTGGCCCCAAATCTTAACGGAGGTGTATAAAAAATGCAGTTTGTCTTGGACCAAGAGCTTGTAACACTCCAAAGAGAAAGGAAAAATTTAAATCGCATCATATGACCCCTTTAAAATATTGCAGGAAATGTAGGCTATAACAAACCAGATGTAAAGGTGAACTTGATGATTCAGAACCTTTGTTTTCATAGGAAACAATTATTGATCCAAGTTAGACATTCATGCAGAATGAGTTTTTGCTTTCATAACAGGGCTTTCAGGGTGCAAGATACTAAAAAGAAAAGTAAATAATAATAAAGTTGACCAGTGAAATAAAAATGTAATTTGTTGTCTGTAACATTCAGTATTTTTTTTTTAAGTAGATGAAACAGTTAATTTAATGATACATGATCATTTATTTGACCCTCTGACTGAAAAGCTCCGTTTTGGAATTTTTTAAAATTGTTTTAATTGCAATTTACTATAAAGAAAAATCTGATTCCTCATGACAATGACACCTTTTAAAATGGGCCATGCACTAAAAAAGGTTGAGCTCCACTGTCTTAGTGAGGGATGTACAGGCGTAGGCATTAGCAAATGGCTGCAATATAACAAAGAGTGAAAAATTGAAGGGGGTCTGAATACTTTCCGTACCCACTGTATGTAATAGTTTATTTTGGTATTGATTTGAGCCTGGAGCAGAAGCTGGAATGATCGATCACGCTCCTGTGTATTTCCTATCAGCCATTAACAAGGAAACAGAGGAAGGAATGAAGCAAAAGAAAGCACAGAGAGATGAAACAAAAGCTCAGAAAGGAGAACAATAGTCCTTGACTCTTTTCTTTGACTGTGGTGGATAGGAGAGATATAAATAGCGGGATAGTGTATGTTTAAATTTGGCAGCCTAAGATGGTCTGAAGCAGGAGGTTGCTGGTGAGAAGATGGTTTGGATTGCACATAGGGAGGAGGCGGGCTTACAACTCTGATGAAAAATACAGAAAAAAACATTAATATTGTGAAATATTATTACAGTTTTGTTTTCTACTGTTTTCTATTTTAATCAAATGTAATTTATTCTTGTGATGACACAGCTGAATTTTCAGCAGCCATTACTCCAGTCTTCAGTGTCATATGATCCTTCAGAAATCATTCTGATATGCCGATTTGGTGATCAAGAAACATTTCTTCTTATTATTATCATTATTATTATTTTGAAAACAGTTGCCACCGTGATACATTTGTGCAGGATTCAATGATGAATAGAAAGTTCAAAAGAACAGCACTGATTTGAAATAGAAACCTTTTGTAAGATTAAAAATGCTTTTACTGTCACGCTTGATCAATTTAATGCATCCTTGCTGAATAAAAGTATTAATATATTTTTAAAAATGACTTACTGACCCCAAATTTTTTAATGGTATATATAGTAGAAAATGGCTAAATCTGTTCCCATCTGTGAGAATGTGTGCATTAAGGAGGACAGCAAAGAAATCAGCTGTGTGCTACCCAGTGCCTCATGATACGACTTGCCTTTTTTGCACCTCCTCTAAGGCATTTAATACTCTCCTCAGCTGATGTGGTTTATCTGTGTCTCAGTCCTGGGTGTCACCAGCATAATTAGTCATTTTCTGTATGAGTGAGAACAAAGGATCAGGACTTTGTTATAGTAGATATATTGGAGTCAAACCCAGCTGCTTAGATACATATGTAAAATAAATCAAGAGGGGAGGATTAAACAAATGACAGGAGATAAACTTTAAACGTGAGGATTTCCAAAAATTGCACCATTATCTGTCTTCTAGAAGTCAGGTGATGCGATTGTGTTGATATGGTGTTAGCAGGCCTGCTCTCACTATACGCTCATTGAACAGTCCTCAACCCCATGACAAGGAAAGTTAAGTGGTTGGGCGGAGCATTTGCAGTATGTTTGTTTTGTGCCGATCTTCTCGTGATGGTTGGAATAAAAGAGAGACCAAATTGTTGACCATTGAAGTGAAATTTGTTTAAATATGTGTAATGAACTTTACTGGAAAGGAACTACTGTGGCTGCAATTTCAAAAAAGGCTGAGAAAGGAGAAAATAAGATGTTAGGGATTTACCCATAATCCTTTGCACTACTCGTTTGGATAACATAAGTATACTAATCTTAAGTAGTATGTGAATGTGTAGTATTTCTAGTACTAGTATTCATACTTGTAATATGTTATTTTGGATTCAGCTGAAATTTGTCTGTTATCCATAGTCCATTGCATTGCTTGTTCAGACTCAGATGCCCTATTTGTTACCTATAATCCTCTGCTCTGCTCATTCAGTTTGGGGGAGGGGCGGCCATTTCATTAATTGTACCTTCTTACTTTGTTCTTTGTAATAGCCTACTTTGAATTGACAATCACAGTGTACAGTTACTTAAAGATTTTTAAAGATAATTCAAGATTTTGTGTATTGTAACAACACACATTTAAATTGAATAAAAGTGCGCACATATAATGCACTTTTTTTTTTTTGTCTCGGTTTCATTTTTTATTTGTTTTTTTCACCTTCAGTTGGCTTTGTTGGGAATGGACCTGCTTTCTGCCTTAGTGACGAGATTACAGGATCGATTTCGGCCCCAAGTTGGTACAGGTAGGAATAGTAATATCTTATCTTATATGTGTAAAAAATGTCAGATTTTATTACCACGAGAAATAAGGATCGTTGTATGACACTTCATTTTCATGTTATAGTTTATCTGAAGAACATTTTTTATCACTTTTTAAGTAGTGGTGCTTTAAAGGGTACAAATGAAGAGATACAACTTCCTGCAGAAGGTTTGAGTTTGCTGACAGAGTGTTATGCTTTAAATGCTGGAACTGTCAGCATACACTGAAACCCTCTGAGAAGTTGCTTCTTAAAATTCATCTGCTTTAAAGCATCACTGCTGCAGTCATCAAACACTGCTTTTGTAACAAATTCACTGCATTCATCAGTGAATTTCAAGGCAATCACTGTCAGGCTTCAGATTGTCTGCTGTGAGAAATGTTCCCGTTATTACATAATCTGAAGGTCTTCAGTCTCAAATGATTTGAAGCTTCCATCTAGTTGACTAATCAGTAATGAAAATAGTTTTGCACATCCCTAATATTTAATCTTTGTTCTCTCCATCCCCAGTTTTACCCAGCTTGATAGATCGGTTAGGCGATGCCAAAGATCAAGTCAGAGACCAAGATCAAACCCTGCTGCTGAAGATCATGGAGCAGTCAGCTACTCCTCAGGTAGTATTTGTCTTTATTTAGCCTAAATATTAATTCCAGGACGTTCAATCCAATCTAAAGCTAACACTGCAGTCCTGTTGTGTGAACACAGTGCATTATGCCCACAAACAGACATCTCTGTATTTTGTCTTTGTGTTAAAATATCATGACAGCCTAAACGATATTTGTAATGTAAGATCTGAACAACCTGCTCCACTCAGAAGTACCCTTGCGAGATGCCTTTGTGGTATTTTAAACGGGATTTAATTTAGTTAATGTATTGAACTATTCGCTCCATGAAAAGGCTGATGGGAGGTCTCATAATGCGATTAGCTGCCATTTAATTGTATTAGATTGAAAGTATTACATTTGGATTGTCTTCACAGTACATATGGGACCGAATGTTGGGGGGTTTCAAACACAAAAACAACCGGACCAGAGAGGGAGTCTGTCTCTGTCTCATCTCAACTCTGAACACGTAAGTCCCATTGTCCTCTCAGTCTGGATATTGTAGTTTTCATTCATCATAAACACAACTTAATGGATAACCCATTAAAGCTGAAGTTGGCAAAGTTACCACAACCCACCATGATGCACTAATGCTGTCCTCCCTGTCACCATCACTTATGTTTTTCAGATACGGTGCCCAAGGCTTAACCCTGAGCAAAATTGTACCACATATATGTAATCTACTCGGAGACCCCACAAGTCAGGTATGTGCATTTGTTGTTATCTAAAACATTCAAGATTAAACTGATCTGTGTGACATGGCTTTTTTTACAGAACAATGGATGAAGGTAGCAACATTTCACAAAGCTATAGTGACCTCTGCTGGTGGTTTTGGATATGGAGTTGATGGAAATATGACAGTGTACATTCGTTTTTATTAAATAAATATACATTTTACAATATGAATGAATATTGTTAACAGATGCAGTGGAAAGCATTCAGAATAAATATATAAGTAGCAATATAGTTGCTTTTTTTGTCCTTCTAAAACATTTACATTTTAAAAAATAAAATATGGAAAAAATATTTCCATATAAAGCTTCCACGAGTTAGAGTTGCACAGGTTAGAGACTCATTTTAAAATGAGTGAAATTATGAAACTGTTGTCCAATTATCTGCCCAGGTTCGGGATGCAGCTATGAACTGCCTTGTGGAAATATACAGACATGTTGGAGAGAAGGTTAGAATTGACCTTAGCAAAAAAGGACTGCCGCAATCAAGGTAAGCTCTTCCTTTTTCCTAATTCTGTACCAGTTCACAGACAATGCATCAGCTTTATATCTAGAATGTTAGCGTTTTCAGGACACTCCCAGGGTCTTTTCTAATTCAGGTGGATTTTTGTCTAATTTTGGACTTATCTGGATGTTTTGAAGGTCTTTTTTCCCTCTAGGTATTCGCGGCATGAGTTCATTTACTTCTATCAGGCATTGATAAATCTAGACAGCTGGTTTTCCCCATTAGTAAGTGTTTCTAAACAGAGTGAAAACATTCATGAACCAGTCTCTGTTAGTACTGTAATGATTCTTATTCCCTTAAGAGGCTAAAGTGGCTATTCATACAGGTCATTAGGTCTTAATTTTCCTCCGGACCCAGAATCTGACTCTGCCCTCTAACTTGAGACTAATATGCTTTTAGCGGCTTACATTATGTGCTCAGAGCACACCACCTAATATGTAATTAAGCTTAAACCTCCTGATTTGGTGATTTAGAATTCAGAAAAGTGTGGAATTCATAGTACCAGTCTCAGATGTTTTGCTCTATTGGTTTGATCCTACAAAAAAAAGTGTCCAACCATGAATACTGCACAGCAAGAGTTAAGTGCATGGAGAGGAGGAAGGCATGCCAGCATTTGCTTGTGGTCTGAATTTGGTTGTAACATCTGTTAGGCGTCCCTCCCACTTAAAATCTGTGCATGTCTCCAGGACCCATGCAGGCATCTGTTTCTCTGATCTTCTCAGTGGTTATAGTTTTAAGACTTTTGAGAGCAGGCTCAATTGGAACATGCTTGGGGAAAACAGTTTGCTGTGACTTCGGACACAACGACAAACCGGCAACTCATTTGTGAGCATCAAGGCTCAAGTACTGCATGTGTACTGCAGCTCCAGTATTTTTGAGTTAATTCACCAGATCTTATTAATACAATAATTTGGGTCATATGAAAATATTTTAAGCTAATGCTAATTAATTTCCACTTCCGAGGGCTGTACTCATTATATTTGATTTATTAGATTAATATAATTTCCATGCTGCCTTCTCAGTTGGCTTCATGTGCATCTGTACCCAAATTCTTTGGGACTAGACCAAATCCTGTTACTATAAATGATAACCACACAATTAAAATGGGCCTTGGAGGGATCTATGAAAGTATTGAACCCTCGTTTATTTCTCTCTAAAGCTCATATTTATCATAAATTAAGTGTGCACAACAAAGTTTTAATTTTCCAAATGTTCAATATCCAGTTTGAGTCTTAAGCACACTGACAGCATGACAGTTTTTCAGCACTGCTATTTTTTCACGGACTGGCATGGCTGTATCTGTAAAATTCAAATCTTCACAGCTTAATTTAGAGGCACACAGTCAGTTTGCATGGATGAAGTGAGTAGAGAAAGAAATCTCTTTTGAACACTATAGTGCATAAGGGTTTAGCAAAAAGCATTTCCCATTTCTCAAACTGCAGAAAAGGCATCCCGTCTCATTTGCAATTAAAAATTCTGTTGTGTTGCACTTGGTAAAGCAGCATGACAGTTTTTCAGCACTGCTATTTTTTCACGGACTGGCATGGCTGTATCTGTAAAATTCAAATCTTCACAGCTTAATTTAGAGGCACACAGTCAGTTTGCATGGATGAAGTGAGTAGAGAAAGAAATCTCTTTTGAACAATATAGTGCATAAGGGTTTAGCAAAAAGCATTTCCCATTTCTCAAACTGCAGAAAAGGCATCCCGTCTCATTTGCAATTCAAAATTCTGTTGTGTTGCACTTGGTAAAGCAGAAATGATGGACTTGTAGGATTAAATGTTTGCATTTGTCAGTTGTTGTCAGCAGGGTTGCCCTCATTTAAAATTAAATCCTAACAGCATGATTGTAGGAAACAACATCCTCTTAACCATAAATATTACAAGGCTTTACTTACTTGTCCTAGTTAGAATTTAATGACTTTGCCAGTTAGAGCTTTGAACATTAACATCACAATATTCACAATATCATAAATGCAAATTTTGAGTATTAATTTTATCACTCAGCCCTATTTATGACCTAAAATGATTCTTTGCCACACTGTAAGGCAGAGAAAGGTGGTAGCCCATCTAGATTCAGCATGGCAGAATCCCCTCACAGGGAGCTGAGAACATGACGATGAATTGGATTTGATGCTCAGGGCTCTGGGGATCTACCTCTGACTCGCATAGACAATCTTCTGAGAGGGATGTAAAGGATGAAGGATTCTCAGAGGGTTTTACAGGAAGAAAACATCCTCACCTTTGTGAATATGTAGTGGGAGTAGTTTCAGGGAGCAGCGCTACATGGTTCCATTTCAGATGTTCTCCAAGTGATTTGCTGTCATTTGAGGATGCTCAAGTGTTTCGAAAATTATTGCTTCATTGAAGAGGCCATTCTATAATTAAAATAATTATTTTTTCCTTTGATCCACTTACGATGTTTCTTTCATTGAATAACAGTATTGTTGTTCACAACTATCTCTTTGTCCTTTAAAGAATTTTTTTTTTTTTGCTGCTATACCTTTAAGACCTGTTAATTTCCTCTGTTATGATTGGCTAACCTCTTTGCACATGCAGGGATCATCGCTAAGGATTTTTTCTACTGGCCCAGTCGGGTCAGTGGTTCAAATTTTTACTTGCCCTGCCAACATTTTCACTGGCCCTGCCACCACAAAAAATAAAATAGTTGCTGTTATCATTGTTTTTGATCTGTTATCTTGTATTCTAATAAATAAGCTTATATGACACCATATATTGCCTATGTACCAACATATAATATACACTCTCGTTTAGATCATCAGAAGACGAATTCATAGATACTAAACATGGTAGGATTACATATATGTAAGATTACATGAACGAGTGGTTCTATCATAAGCCTGCATAAAACAGTATACAATATAAAATACAATATACAAGGACAGTAACAACATACACAATGATCTGAAGGATATGCGTGTTCATTCAAAGAAAGGTTTTCCTATGAATTAATTAGAGAACAGTCTATTTCCCTTGGCATTATGTGTCTTTCCTATGAGGGAAGGGTCCATAGGCCCTCATAAGACTTGTTAATTGAGGGGTGTTACAGAGTATTTGTTAAATATAACTAACAAAATATATATTGTGTGTCTGATTGGTCCAGACGCTACATTATGCTACATAAAACATCTGCACGAAACAGAAACAGCAGGTGGGCTGAATGAGACGCAGACTCACTCTCTGACAGCAGACAGCGCTTATGGTACGGTGATACAGCGTTTCCTTGGTTACAGCTGTAAACACAGTAGCGCTGCGCATATTAACCATTAACACTAATTTAAATGCATCATACGGAGACAAAATGAAAAGGAAACGCCATTTCTGAAAACAGTCAGTTTCGTTCCCCTCAGAAAGACATTCATATAAAATTCAGTATTTGGATTTTCTTCCTATATTTCTCGCATCGTAAACAAAAAATGTCCGGTACATCAGTGCATCTGTAACATACTCCAGTGTATAAACGCTGTTCACACAGAACACAACGCGCGAGTACTGAATGTAGTTGTCTTTCATGCCCAAATGCTTTTTAATCACTTGAATTTTTAAATTAACAAGTCTTAAAAACACATGCAAATGATAAGTCGTGACGACGCTGCAGTGGCCCGATCGGGCAAGTGACAAATCCGTCTACTGTCCCAAACGTCTTTCACGCTGGCCCCGGGCCATCGGGCAGTCCTTATTGTCGAGCCCTGACATGGATTACACTTACCTTTGGATTTGCAGATCTGCTTTGGCATCAGATATAGTTGGTGCAAAGCTTGCGTTACACTGACAGGATCACAAAACCATCCATGCTGTAATGTGACACATCAACTGTTACATCACAGCCAGTCTCGCTCAGCCAGACGTATGGCTAACGGCAAATAGTCTGGTCCTCATTGTAGCTTGTTCTGGCCTTGTTCGCACATTTAGACCACCTACCGACATGTTTAGCAACCAAGTACTTTACTGCCTGTTGTGTCCATAGTTTATGAGTTAGGTCATCGTGTCATTATGTCCATAGCTAATAGTCTAAGCGTTTGTTAAATAGTAGTGTAGTGTGGTCAGGTGGTATCTCAGGAAAAAGGGAGTGACCGAGTGAAAGGTATTTCCATTTCATAGATATTTACCCTGCTTGCTGAGAGCCTTTTTTGTTAGATTTGCAACACCTGTTTCTGAGGATTGTTTTGTGTACACCAGGGGTCACATTTCCAGAGTTACTGCTCTGAAGGTCTAGATATTGTTTTTCTGTAACTGAGCGATCTTTAACTTTAGATTAATTTATTCTTGTTTTTTTTTTTTTTACAGGTTGAATGTAATTTTCAGCAAATTTGATGAAGTCCAAAGATCTGGGAACATAATCCTCTCCTCGGGTTCAGGTAGGATCTATATGTTTAGATATTCCAAGAATTCAAATGTCCAAACAGACTTTTAAACATCATAGCTTGGATGTTTACCCTGGCTGTCTTCCAAAACCTAGTTCCACTCCCTACATCATCCTAACCTCAAAAGTGACCCATTTGTTTCATTTTACATAGACACCTTGTTGAACATTTTTTTAAATTAGATTGAACTGCTATTTTAATCTATGCTTTTGGGGATTGAAGAATTATATTTGTTATCAACATTTCTCTTGCATTATCCACCATCTTGGATGCATTTTATTCACTGAGCTTATCACGGTGCATTATAGGATTTCCTTTTCTGTATAGGATACATGTGATGCTACTTTAATATTGTAGAAGGTATCTAACTGCCTTTCATGTCGAAAGCATGCCTGTAATGCCTTAAAATGCTGTCTACATAGGCAGCTCACAAGGTTTTGGAACTATTTTCTCTTTGCATCTTATAATGATGTCCTAGGGCAGGGATTCCAAGACTTTTTTTGGTCAGCTGAACCTGTTCGTTCTAAATACTGACTTAAAGTACTTCCTGAAATTGTAAGTTAATATTTCAACAACGCATTTGCATGTTTACAGTTCTCTGATGACAGTTAATGGTCACATGACATGCAGATAAACAAATAAAATATTTAAAAAAACAATTTTTTAATTATTAAATGAGATTAAAAGATTATTTATTTATTTTAATTTTAAATTTTTATGATTCAATTAATCATTAGCTTTTAATTAACTCATGAACCTCAGTTTGGCAAACCCTGTGCTAGGGTATTTGTTAATTATTACTTGAAGCATCACAACAGAAAAAAAATACGGTATGGTCAATAATACCCACACAAACTGTATGATATATAATGTACTATATTATTGGAATATTATAAGTACTGTTTAAGAATGACTGTATTGACCTGATCAGGTACACTATGATAGCCTAAAAGGCATTTTTGATCAGGCTTTATGTATCAGGAAGGTTTTGGCATGACAGTTGCAGATCTATAAGTGTTAGAGTCTATGAAGCGTGTTTGTTTGAAATACAGAATTAGTGAGGTCTGAGTCCACCTCTTCCACCTGTTCTCCCCTGTGACCCTGTGCAGATTATATTGCAGGATTTGGGCTCATTTTGCATTTCAGTGGGTGGTTGAAAACAGCATCTGTGGTATAAGGATTTTTTTGTAATTTTACTAATAATGAAATGACTGTTTATTTGGGTGATCGTCTCTTCGACTTTCTTTGTAAATCTGGTTGAACTGTCAGTGAAATCAGGCAGAGGTAATATATTGAGATAAAACATGAATCTATCATCATTTTTAGGGTGAGGGTCAGCTTTAGAATTACACCTGACAGAGAGGGAGAGACAGTGAGCGAGCGATACTCATCACGTTGTATGCTGCAGTGCTTTGAGAAAATCACTTTGTGTGTTTTTCTGACTTTAGATTCAAAGGGACTTACTTTGTCATCTTTTTCTGAATTTCGATTTATTTAATGGAATAATATCATGCTGATTTTTAAATTGAAAAGCTTTGATGTGATCCTTGGTTCATGCTGCTCCATATAAAGTAATTTGTCATGAACCTTGTTGCTGCCGTATTGGAACCGTGAGAGTTTTACAAATGATAACTCATGGTATGAGTGTGCTTTTGGCAGACACTGATTTAGATACACTGTGATGAGAAGCCTTAATCAGAGATTTCCAAGTAATGTTGGTTTCTGTCTGATTACCAGAAGTTTTCTTTCTATAATATAAAATTCCATGCAGAAGTGATACAGGTCTGTAAATAAGACTGGACCAGATTAAGCAACGATTAGCTGATGGATGATTTCTGTGGACAAGACGCTAAGTGATCATGTGCCTGTAAAAGGAGGAGTTGGGGATGGAGGAGGGTAAGCGCATGTCTGTTCAACAGCCTAAGGCAAGTGTGAGTACGGATGAACTTTTAAATCTTATTTAATTGTAGTGTGAGGAGTTACAATCAGCTGAGCATCAGCTGATGCTGGCTGTCACGCCGTAGTCTGCCTGAACTACATTTGAGCTTTATTCATCACTCAAACTAGAGTTCAGTTAGGACCACTCTGTTGACTAAGATTATTGTAGAGGTCTTGAACATTATTTTGGCGGCAGGCTTTGCTCTGAAGGGTTCAGGTTCTTAGCTGTCCACAGACAAACCTCACTGAGGTTTGAAACCCCCAACACAATGACGTAGTATGTTAATTCCAAGATCAATCAGGGAGCACAGCAACTTTTGTGGATGCTCTCTTGTCTCAGCACAGCGGAGATAGCATATTTCAATTATAATCGGGAATGCTGTTCTCTGGTAAGGCGATTGGTGAAGCTATTAAAATTGATGTACATTAGGCTAAAATTTAATAGTCCATGAGAGGGGAGAATGATGCTCAATTGGAGTATAACGGTGAAATGAGTATAACGGTGGAGTATAATGGTCAAATGGAGTATAACGGTGGACTATAACGGTCAAATGGAGAATAATGGTTAGCTTACTTGAAGATCGTTGTCTCCTTAACTGCAAACATTGAAGGACTGATTATAGATGTGCTAGCATAAAATAACATCACACTAGCATTAGTGTGCTTGGCACCCTCAAGCACCCCTGTAGAACTGATTAAGTTTATTGGCAATAACCAAGCCTGAGCAACAGGTATGTTTCCAATAATATACAAAAGCTTTGATCAACAGCACGTTTCCTAAAACTAGCTTAGTCAAACAACGAAAACGTTCCAATGATAAACACAATTTTGTGTTAAACAGTATATGTTCCAATAATGACTTCGTAACAAGCACGTTGCCAATAACCTGTTAACTTTTAAGCATGAGCATAAAAGAAAAACTTAGCTTAGCTTATGAAGACAAATTCAGATGAATGGAGTGAAGTATATACAGATGTGATGAAGATGCTTGATCTTACTGATGTCACACTCCTTCATGAAGGGAGGAGGGCTGATCTCGACTAAATTGTTCTGAAGTCACTTCCAAATCAAGCCGCTTATACTGGTCAATGCGGTGAATTGTGAGTATAAGATCACGAAACTGAATCTGAAGTGAAATTGGTGTGGGGAACAAAATTCTTTCATCTGTTTGAAAGCTGTCCTGTGAGTGTTTATGATGAACTAGAAGGCTATCGTAGCGAGTATCTGTGCGACAGTTTAAATTTTTGTGTCTGGCTCCGAAGTAGAAGCGATTAAAGCGAAGTGTCTGTGCGACAGACTGAAAGCTGACTTAACACATCTGTGCGACAGACTATATAGTGACTGAAAGCTAGCTGACTTAAAGGGGTCATATGATGCGATTTCAAGTTTTCCTTTCTCTTTGGAGTGTTACAAGCTGTTCGTGAATAGATAAGATCCCTGAAGTTGCAAAGACTAAAGTCTCAAAACCAAAGAGATATTCTTTATCAAAGTTAAGACTCTGCCACACCCCCCTAAAACGGCTCGTTCTAACACGCCTGTGTTAGAACGTTCGAACACGTGTCCGTGCTAAGTCAGCTTTCAGTCACTATATAGTCTGCCGCACAGACACGTGTTCAGTCAGCTTTCAGTCACTATATAGACTGTCGCACGGACACGTGTTAAGTAAGTCAGCTTTTAGTCACTATATAGTCTGTCGCACGGACACGTGTTAAGTAAGTTAGCTTTCACTCACTATATAGTCTGTCGCACGGAAACGTGTTAAGTCAGCTTTCAGTCACTATATAGTCTGTCGCACGGACACGTGTCAAGTCAGCTTTCAGTCACTATATAGTCTGTCGCACGGACACGTGTCAAGTCAGCTTTCAGTCACTATATAGTCTGTCGCACGGACACGTGTTAAGTAAGTCAGCTTTCAGTCACTATATAGTCTGTC